TGTCGGAAATTTTTAGAACCAATTTTTATAAAAATATATTTATGGACTTATCAAGCTATTTGATGAAACTTATTCATCGGAAGTAAATAAATGAATGAGAAAAATTGATTTTCTTATTGATTAAAAAAAAATTTCTTTACAAGTTAGTAAAATGTAAACTTTTAATAATAAATTAGGATTAAATTAGAAAAATTTTTAAATTTTAGTCATTTTCCCACTTCATACAGAATGCCCTAATAATAATGAATAAAAAAATTATTTTTTTAATAATTTTTCAAACGATCATAAAATTTAATTTCTCAAAAGCGTGGGAGAGCTTTCTATAAAAAATTGACGGCTTAACTAAAAATAAAAAAATAAAAAAGAGTCGCGAATGTTTTTACTTGAAAATCGAATGTAACTCGGCGGAAATGAATGAAACAAAGGATTAGTTTCGTAAAAAGGACATTTGAGCGCAAATATAAATAAAAATAAAAAAGAAGTGACTATCAAATGAAAACACAAACTTGGTATTAAAAAAAAGTGAGGGTCTGGTTGTTAATTGAAGTAGTGATGTGATGCAGATAAATGCCGAGTGTACCTGCTCCAGTCTCCAGCGCAATTACATTGCAGGCCAGCAGCGAGTACCGGGGTTATTATCTAGTTTGATATGTTTCTCACGGATGCTTTGTGCGTTCTATTCGTCCAACGACATGAACAGTACTGGCAGTAACATCAGTATCAGCCTACGCTTGTTAATTTATACACCATGTCATGTACACAACTATATACAATATCGAACCTTCTGAACAATTGATCCTGCTGGACGTATAGATTACTAATAGACAAACATATACTTTAAATCGATTTAGTGGTCGCCCGAAATAACCTCCTGTAATTATATACTCAAATTAGTATCAGTGTACGTTGGGGCAATCTATATCAATTCGAGATAAACATCCGATATTGTGATATTGCATTACATGGTGAACCTTCACGATTTTGGTACTCTACAAATGTAATTAGTTGATAAATACACTGACCAAATGCGTTTTCGTAGTTTATATCGAATAGATAATGTTAATTGAGAAATTACATTTTATAATGTGAACTATTGACATTTTTAAAGATATAAGCTCATCCCGATGTTACGCTCATCAAGATCTATCGTTTGAGTACCCACATCAATTTTTCATATATTTATATATATTATATATATATATATATATATATATGTATGTATGAAAAATATATTAAAAATGCATGTGGGTATTCAAATGAAAGCTCTTGATGAGCCTAACATCAAGATGAGCTTACATTTTAAAAATATATGTTATATATATGTATACATAAAAAATATATCAAAAATGCATGTGGGTACTCAAATGAAAGGTCTTGATGAGTATAACATCACAATGAGCTTATATCTTTAAAAACTTCAATATTTAAGAAAGTACAGAGTAATTTAACAAAATTCATTATTGAATAAAGCGAAATTTCATTTATTTAAATAAAATAAAATAAATTTTTTTACTCTCTAGCACTTGAAAGTATAATTGAAACATCCTACAAAATTTTTTCCCTCATGTTTATCCACGCCTGAGAAAGAAAGGAACAAATTGATCACCTCTGGCCTCGTAAAATTTTCACCAAAGCTATTTTTTCTTGTCCTAAACTGTGTCATTCTGTCTGGAACACTTACGAGCTAGTATCTCATTTCACCGCGGCTTTTTTTTTAAGCGCTTCATATTTTTTGTAATTCAAAAAACCTCGGGCCATTTACTTGAGTATAACAATGAAGCGAGTGCATTATAATTTACAGTGTATTAGCACTTAAAACTCTCACCAAGTTCAGCAAAAAGTTGGAGCTTTCTAAATAAAATCTGGAACTATCACGGGCCATAAATTTGGTCTATTTGTGTAAAATGTCGGCGAAATATTCATAAATATTAATTTACATTTACAGTACAGGGATAAAAATAAAATATCGTGACAATATCAATATAATATCCCCAGCAGCTGTTGAGTATTCGTAAGGACAAACTCGAGAGTCGTATCGTAAATTTAAAATAAAACACTCGGCCCTTTTCAACGTCTTCCGTGTTATGTCCTAAAACCTAAGTTAAATTGCCAATCCGTTTCCGCGGCCGCATCAAATAAGGTTACACTGAATGAGAAAGGAACCAACTGCGCCCGAGAAACTAATATCATAGGTACAGAATGTTTCTACACTCCAAATACTATCGCAATCGTTCTTGTCCTCTTGGAAATAGTCCTCGTTAAATTACCGTCTTTCCACGTCCCTGCTCAACCAAACGATCCACTGAATGCCGTAACCGCGTAACGTGCTCCAACTTCACCGCGTGTTCGTATTTCACTCTGATACATGTGTTTACAGCAGCCACAGACAGTGAATTAAGTGAAAGGTTGACTTTTAACGTAAATTATCAATATTTACACTTGAAATTAATCGAAAAAAAATTAATTTTGAAGAACTATATTTTTATTAGAGTATAGGGGACATTCTGAAAATGACTCAAATTAAAAAATTTCTCTAATTGATTCTAATTTAGTCCTAATCTATTATCAAAAGTATATTTTACTAATTTGTAAAAAAAAATTTTTTTAATCAATAAAAAAATCGATTTTTCTCATTCATTTAGTTACTTCCGGTGAAAAAATTTCATCAAATAGCTGGATAAGCCCGTAAATGAATTTTTAAAAAATATTTCCAAAAATTTCCAATAGGTGGCGCATGGTCGTTAAATTTTCTCGTTATTAGAGAGTTAATTTTTTTAAATATAAGTAAAGAACTAAAAAAATTTTTTTACTATTTTAAAGAGCCTGTTAATATTAATTTAGTCCTAATTTATTATTAAAAGTTTATATTTTACTAATTTGTAAAGAAAATTTTTAATCAATAAGAAAATCGATAACTCTCCTAGTAACTTTTCAGCCGTACTAACTTGTATCCGGGTCAAATGTTGTTTTAATAGTTTTACAACAAATTCACTTTATCTTTGTTATTAACTAACATATTTATTATTATAGTTTTAAGAACAAATTTTGTTTATGTTCGTTATTAATTAACACCTAAGTATATCAAGATTGTGTTGTCAGCAAGCTAAATCCTGTATTTGTATTTTTTAATTAGTTTTTTTTAATTATCCTAAATAATTTATAGTTAAATATATAAACAATAATGTTTATAAGGTTGAAATAATATAAAAGTCTTTTTAATAAGCAACTTGATGTAGACATTTAGTACTTGTCCCACCAGTCGCCAATGCCTGTCCCACTAGTCACAATAAAAACAAATTTTTTTAATTGTTTCTACGTAGGTAATCAGTCTAATTGTTCATAATATTGAATGTTTGTAGGATAAATTTAGTATTTTTGAGGGAAGTATTTTTATTTAGTTTAGTGGTCGAACTGAAATTGGACTTTAAGTATACCTTTGGTAAGAGAGAAGGATTTGTTGTTAGTCCCACCAGTCAGACTCAGTCAAACGGTAATTACGAGAAACTTAAAAAGTAATGGAGGTTTTTGACAAAGGGATCTTAATTAGTTATTCTTCTGTATAAGATAAATTTTACTAGTATAAATTTCAGTCACATAATTATATATAATTGATGGAATTCCAGAGTCAAATGTCCCACCAGTCACTATGGAATGCCCCATAGGCTGAAATTGATCCTGTGCTGAATTATTTTTAAAATTTATTTAAAAATACCCAAATATTTATTAAAGCTTATCTTTATTTTTACTTCAGTTTGAATTGTTCCAGTAAACAACGAACAGTGGATGTAAATGTAAAATGGTTTGTTTCAACATTTAAACGTCTAGAACATTGATTTCGTGTTATAACCATCTGTTTCCACTTGCACGAGTCACAGCTCTGATATTACAAATGTAATTTCTTTTACTTAGTTAGCAGTATTTTTTAAGTCGACAGAATAAATATCTGATAACTAGCAACTTTGCAGTCACTATGTGACTGCCGTGACTTGTGAACTTTTAATAAATAGAATTTTACTTTATTGGATAATGAATTTTGTTAAATTGCACTTTAATTTCTTAAATATTTATGTTTTTAAATATATAAGCTCATCCCGACGTTACACTCATCAAAAGCTTTAATTTGAGTACCCACATGCATTTTTGGCATATTTTTCATATATTCATATATATAATATATATAAATATATAAAATATATAAAAAATTGATGTGGGTACTCAAATGAAAGACCTTGATGAGTGTAACATCAAGATGAGCTTATATCTTTAAAAATGTCAATAATTCATAAGCTACAAGGTCATTTCTTAATTATGTACCTAGAGATATAACTAAACTAAAAAATTGACAAAAGTGTAATTTAATAAAAAAATAAAATTTTTGCAAGAGTGTATATTAATTAATTTTGAAGCACAATGTCAGACAAGGAATACAGTTAATGATAAAAGCAGCTGGCGAGTTTAGGCAATATCGTAAACTTGAAACACTATCCAAGACAAGGGTACCCAAGCATGAGATCTAGGTCTTGACTTAGTGTTGTACCATCAAGATAACATCTATTACATAATTATAATGATATGCTTGAGGATAATGTAGATAATAATATGTATAATATTATGAGCGAGATGTTTGTCACGTTTCTTATTGCAAATATTGATCCTCCTTCTCGACGTGCATACGTAATTTGAAGATGCTTGACTTATTTTCGTCAGCAAACATGACACTTGGTGCAGTAAGACCGATTTGCACTTTCATTCGACAAGCTTTTTACCAGCGCATCTGTTCACGGCGATTTCTAAATTAAATTAATGCTCGACGCTTTTTTACCTGACAATAATAAATTCAAGTTATTTTTCCATCTGATATTACCATACGTCAACGGCACATTGCCGAGTGTATATTTCATTAAGCGATGATGGAAATATTCACATTTTTCGCGAGGATATATATATCTACCGCGGACTTTTCAAAGAAAAATAAATAATCGTTGTTGTTATTATTATTAATGGCCCAAGCCTCGAGATATTTATTAACAAATCTGGTTTTTAGTTTATCAGATAAATATTTATGAGCTTATTGAAGGTGAAATATGACTTTTAAGTTTTGAGATAAAATTTTGTTTATTATTCACGCGTCGATAAATTAAAGGTTTCACGACCGCTAATAAATTTTCACGGCCCGTAGATCAACAGGAGATTTTTATTTAGATACATAATTAAAAAATGACCTTGTATTTTGAGAAATATTGACATTTTTTAAGATATAAGCTTATTTTAATGTTACACTCATTGAGATCTTTCATTTGAGTACCCACATCAATTTTTCATATATTTATATATAACATATATAAAAAAATATATCAAAAATGCATGTGGGTACTCAAATAAAAGCTTTTGATGAATGTAACATTGGAATGAGCTTATATTTTTAAAATATATATTACGTAATTAAAAAATGACCTCGTATTTTGAGAAATATTGACATTTTTTAAGATATAAGCTCATCCTGATGTTACACTCATCGAGACCTTTCATTTGAATACCCACATCAATTTTTCATATATTTATATATAACATATATAAAAAAATATATCAAAAATGCATGTGGGTACTCAAATGAAAGCTCTCGATGAGTGTAACGTCAGGATGAGCTTACATCTTTAAAAATATCAATAATTAAAAA